GTGGTGCGGCGTAGCGAATGTTACTAAAGTTATACGCTTGGGTTGATTGCTGGGACGAATTAATCAGTTTATTGGATGTGTTAGTAGTTTGGTACAGGTAGGTACTTACATCGAGAGAAAATGCCTGGTGTAGCTCATAACCCAGATCTACGATGGGTAAGGACTTGGAGTGAGCATATGATGAGATGGAGGAGAGAAGACTGAGGGGAAGTATGTAGCCTTTCTTGCGGAGATGCATAGTAAGCAATCACACCGCAAGATAGCGATTATGTGCGGCAAACAGTATGGCTTGTGGGTGTGTGTGATATATCTCTGTGTGAGATATCTCCGTGTGTGATATCAACTGTCAATAACTGTCAATTGTGATAGTAATCTGCTTATATTTAGAATGGACCGACGGGGGAGTCATTGGAAGTGTGTGCTGGCCAAGTCTCCAAGGAGTGTTAATCGGAAGATAAGCGAGACGGTGTAGTTATAGTTCAATAGTTTATGCCGACGTCGCATCATCGCAACTCAATAAAGGTGACAATGATCACTTGCGTCCCGAGACCTATTGTAACGTTCCTCTCCCGGGTCAGCCAAGTATCGAATTATTTGTAGATCCAGGTGTGAAGCGCAGGAGAGATTTCACGGTAGTGGGATGTTTTCAGCCACTCCATGCAACATCCGCAACCGAACCAACCTTCCGAATCCGGAATGTGACACACCGACCGAGTAGTAGATTCCTTCCGCATCTTAAATCCGCCAGCTGCGCCATAAAAATGACAATCTATCGAGATTAGCAATTCTATTCAAAATGCTACTATACTACCATACTACTATGCTCACATATTCCAATCACACTTCGAGTCCAACCCAATTCACGAATCATCCACCTCCCTAATCCCCACTCCAAACATCCCATTCGACTCCACCGCACTCTCGTCCTTCAATTTCTCCGCGGTCTCTACGCCTCCAGCAGGCACCTTGTACTCAAATCTCTTCCCTGGCGCGGGTGTCCTTCCATCCGGTAGTTGGTACGGAAAAGGCAACCACTGTGGCAGGAGACCCAACTGAACGAGAACGGTCGCTTGATCCCATGCGATGTGCTCGTGGTAGAGTCGGTCGCCGCGGATGTTGACGACCGATGTGAAGGGGATGCGAAGCGGTTTGTGGGTTGGGGGAATGCCGGGGATCCTGTCATATCCTTGTCAGCTACTACTCACATGTTCCGACTAATATGTGGAAGCTTGTTAAGAGGTGAAGCATACAGCCAATCTACCTCCTTATCATGCGTAAAGGAGAAAATAAACTCATCCACAACGCGATCAATACCCACAGTCCGACTTATCAGCTCTAGAGCGGTGTCGTCGGGGTTGTTGAAGATGAAGTGGTGGAGGTAAAAGTTGCTTAGTTTGGTGCGGCCAATGCCGCCAGTCATCTGTGTTGGTCATTAATATGAGATAACTGAAGGGGCGAGCAAGTGGCTTACGGTCGGGATATGGTTCACATATGGTTCTTGTACCATTGTAGCCATGGTCTTTTCGACAGATCGAACATCGAATTCGTAGTATGTGTGTTCGGCCCAGATTTTCTCCAGGTCGAAGTTTGGCCCGTTCAGGTGACTCTTGAGGAAGGTGAGGGAACGGGTATGCGCTACACTGGCAGTGGAGTATTTGAAGTCGGGGTGACCGGGGATGATGAAGCCTGGAGAGGATACGTCGGGGTAGACGTAGTTGGTGCCATTGGTAGTGGGTGCTTGGGACCCTGGGATGTGCATGAGTGTTGGAGTATCGGAGGAAGCGTCCCAAATGCTGTGGTATACTATTGCTGCAAACTTATTTGTGCCACTGATGTGGGCCAGCAGTGAGTGGATGAATGTTGGGGCGTAATCGGATTGGGAGCCGTAGACTAAGGTCCACGTTAGTGTGTGTAACGGATAACTTCGAACTGGGGGAATATAGACCTAATATGCCGAATTTCTCCTTGTCATTGCATTCAGGCAGGGCGATTAAGCCGGCAATTGCGCTGTCAATCCTGATCGACAGTAGAGAAGCGTTCGCGCTTGAATCTGAGTCGAAAGTGATCTGCGCAACTGCATAGCTTTCCTCGGCCCACTTCTGCAGTGGCTCTGGGTCTAGACTGGTATTTTTGTTTTGGCATTCTGCAACATTGGCTGGTCTTATCAAAATTAGGCCTGGACCCTGTCCGCATCGTGAAAGAGGGGGTTGAAGGATGATGTTGTCGCCCAGGTTGATGCGCGGGGCGGATGGAAGCGAAGTAGAGTTGGAGGCCATCATAGTTGAGGAAATTCTGATACTACACGCGATAGTTCAGGATCAGAAAGTATGTCGCAGGGAGAAATCACCCTGGCGGAAATTTCAGGGTTCAAGCTTGACTATCGGCACGGCGGAACACGCCCCGCAGTCTGCGGGGTTAGATCCGAGATTCTGCTGCGGCACTTATCGTCTTGTCTATCGCGATTGGTCTTACTACACAGATATCAATGTGGTAGGACTGCTAGAATATTCTATACTTATCACGATCGGGGCATCGGTTTTGATCCGTGATGTCTGCAGTGGAGAAAGAAATAATGGTACATTTACTTGAATGTCTATACACGAGTCAAGTATAGGGAATAGATCCATCTTTGAAATCTCGAGTACGATTGTTCTTCCTCTGCTTCTCCTCACCACAACATGTCCTACAAACAACCGAGATGATTCCACATCTACAGACTGAACCATTGATTGAAAACATTATCAGGGTCATACTTTGCTTTGATGGCTTTCAGACGATCGACGTTGTCGCCATACACAACCGAAAGATCTTCATCGAAGGCGAAATTGATGTACCTAGATCCAACAACCGAAGTCAGTCCTGGAAGAATATCTGTAGAGGGCACATACACAGCTGGTGAGTCCAATCCATCAGTTGGCCGCCATAAATCACGCATTTTAAAAGCCCATTTCCTCGCGTTCGATTCCAGGCTGTCGTCCATGTACCATGCTATAGCCATCGCGTTGAAATTCACCTTGGTTCTCCAGGCGTAAGCTGACGAATCTTGACCAAAGAAGCGCGCCTTTTCGTGCGAATACGCCTCCAAGAGGACAATACTTTGGCCGGTGCCATCCAGGGAAACAAAAGAAACATACTCCTCCCAAGCCTCTTTCCAAGTGCTGCTAACCATTCTACTAAGTCCGGCAGAGTATGGAATTCTGAACCCACTCTTTGAACAGGCCATGCTGGATGCATCAACCCAGTGAGCGTACTCAGTTGCCATCGTAGTGTCGTTAGTTGGACCTAGGTCGAAAAAACATGAGAATGCAGCCCGCCCTTTTTCTTCGGTACCGTAGTAATATAGCATGAGCGCAACCATTGGCGTATTGTCTGGTCCACCACTAGTCATAAAATACATAATGATGCTCATTTCCGGTTCTAGAGTTATCCTGTCGATCGTATCAACAACAGCTTCCAGTTTGTCGGCAGAGAAAACAAGTTGCCCCGTCCAGGCGGCTTGGCCAGAGGCTGAAACAGGGTATGATTTCATCTTTGCGGACGTGACAATGCCAAAGTTGGGACCAGCACCGCGAAGAGCCCAAAAGAGATCTATATCTTTGGGTGTGATTGTATGCAGACAACCGTCAGCCATGACCAGATTCAGAGATAGTACGTTATCTATCCCGAAGCCAACCAAACCCATCAGGCTACCATATCCGCCCCCGAGAAGAGCCCCCAGAGCGCCAATACAGTTGCAATTGTTTGTCTGAACTAAAGCATTGTTCTTGGATGAAGCCTCAATTACTTGGGCAACTGAGGCGCCACCTCCAACAATCACTTCTCTCCTGTTCTTACTGAAGGTGACTTCATCAAGCTGTTTGAGATTAATGAGCAATCCATCCTCGTCGAGGTGGATTGTTTGTGACCATCCATGCCCACCATTCTGGGCTAGAAATGAGATATTATTCGAGGTGCAATATGAGACCTGTTGTAGGCTTTCACATTAGCCGTTGCAACCCTTGCTATGCATTCAGAACAAACGAACAACATACAATTGCGGCCACATCCTGCTCGGTAGCCGGTGTTACCACAACGCCAGGCGTAGGTGCGTTGGACTTAATCCAGCGCTCATATCTGGTTGCATCCCAGGCAGATATCACAGCCGACTTTGATAGCTGAGGCCCCAGTACCTCGCAAACCTCTGCTAGATACAAGGCCCAGGATTGATATCCGACAACTGATAGAAGAAGGGCAAGTGTGAACGAAGTTTTCATGATTGATGATTTTGTCGCCTTATACAGGTAGCCGAAGAGCGTCGGACTATTGATTAAGATACAGAAAAGCCTCTAAGCGTTGCTAGTGATGTACCACTGGGGAAGAAAAGCGGCACTTGCATATCCGAGCAAACGTCATTATTGCCATCCCCGAACAGAACCATTTTGCACCCCGCTCAGATATCCTTTCTTTGGCGCGGATATGTATCTAAGTGTTGATCTCCTTGACGCGTAGTAATCGCGATGCTAGCTTGGGAAAATCATGTCAAAGGAAAGGGCATATAACGCGTTGGGCCTACAACAGACACAAGTAGTGTCACATATATCTCAGCGCCGGATAGTAGCGAGAGATTGAAAAGTATGGTGTGTCATTCGCCAGGCTAGATCCCATCAAACTTAGAATCTAGCCTTCAGTTGTGGCAGGTCGCACTTGGAGTAGCCAAGATATACTTGGTAGGTTGCAGAGATGATATCAGGGAAATGTGGCGAGTATTTGGTACAGATGCCCCGAGTTCGCCATTATATTGAGGTTAGAGGTTATAAGAGCATTAACTACTGCAATTGGGTGTAGTTCAACAGATCTGACATTAACATTGGATACATTAACTAGTTCCTCCTGGGGAATTGACCGAATGACAGCCTGCGATGGCGGAAAGAACCGGCAGGAACCCCACAGTCACGTGCTAGATAGCTACGATCACGTGGATCTTTCGGCGATCTCATTGTTTTCCGACAACAAACCGAAAACTACAGAGCTTCTCCTCAATCGCATTGCAAGAGGTACCCCAGTTGTGGTTCGAATCTTGGGTTTTAGTAATCCCTTAGTGCTCTTATCTGTTTACCACTTTTGCTCTACCAATTGGGTGCGATATACCTCAAACTATTTGCAGGTCCTAGCTTGATCCTTGCCCATCGCAACGTTTTCGCGACAGCCTAAACGGACCAAAATGAACGTCGAGTTCCAAGGCACCCTCTCCAACCTGGAGAACAAACTAAACGTGCTTATAAATAGTCTGACAACATCACCAACAGCTGCAGGCGCCCCCGCCGCCGCGATCGGTTTATTGGACGCAGACGACTCGTTGACCTCCGCCGTCGAGACCCTCCGACAACACCAGCAGAACTATGCCAAGATTTTACGGCTCCGTGAAGAAGCCCAGGAACTGGAAGAAAAAGTCAAAAGCATTGTACGTGAGGTGATGGCCTATGAGAAGGAAATCACAACGACCTGTGGAGACGAGTCTGATAGCGACCTGGACTCGGAGGACGATTACTTGGACTATGACTCGGATGAAAACATGCAGGGTGAAAAGCCAAGATCTACTGGGTTACGGGGAATTAAGGAGGTGGACTACAAGCTACTTCTCGACTTCGCGCGGCGGATCAGCAAATACAACCACCAAGCGGCTTCCGATGCTGCAGCGACTGCAGAGGCCAAATCGCGCGAGAGAATTCAAGAGAAGGGACCGGATACAGAAATGACGGGCACAAATGGCAACCAGGATACTGAGACTGCGGAACCGGTCGCATCTGTGACCAAAGACGCGACTAATTGGCTTGACGAATCGGCAAAGATGACTCGCCAGGCTTATATGCTACCGTATCCAATGGAAGATCGCATTCGGCTGGGACTGATGGCGCAAATACAACTCGCTGCTGCCGAGGGTCGCCCAGGCTTTGAACCAGAGAAGGAAGTTGAACGCTTAATACGCGAGGCTGAGGGTGTAGGGATCGCTGATGCGATGCCGCAGGTCGACGTCGGCGAAGAAGCGCGTCATGCAGATGAGGCCGCAAAAGCTGCAGCGCATGCTGGATCTGCGGCAACAAGCGGATCTGGGATGGGAGCCGCACCAATGCCAAAACCTAAGGCTACATTGGATCTCGATCTGTACGACCCGGATGAAGATGACGAATGATGCGTTAGTGTTTACTGTACAGATAATGCTACTTGAGATGACCAGCCAACAGCAGGCCTGTTGCTTCTGGACCTCTAAACAAGAAAAATAAACCTGACTCCAAATTCACATCTTGTGCACTGACGACTTTGCTGTCCACTTCCTTAAACGCTTTCCATAAAAATAAAAGGGAATCGCGAAAAGACACCACAAGACTGCGAGGGACATGTTCAACATTATCGGTTTCACGAAGCCGCTCTTTTCTACCCACGGTGTAATGAACTCACTAAAACCATAACCCCACACGTTTTTGTTGACTGTGATCGAGACGAATATCGAGCCAGCAACCGGCTTGTAGCTGTCCACTGCGTAGGTGCTAGTGATAGCTGGGATGGCAGCAACCTGGATACCAGCCGCTGTGTACCCTATTATAACAATAGCCTGGTGGGCAGTTCTCATTAGCGCGCAGGCCTCTCGACCACGGATGAACATGGAAACCCACCCTCCAGTCCCATTGATATTGATATCCAAATGCCACCACGAAATTTCCAATTATGGATACGATCACATATGGTATTATCGCGGGCAATCTCATTTCTGGCTCTCGAATGCCCCGATTTCTTTTTGTGGCTTTCATGGAAATCCAGTCCGAAAGAGGTCCATTGGTTGCCAGTCCAATGAATGCCCCGATCCAGATCGCAAAATTGAAGAAGCCGATGGTCTGGCTGGAGAAGTTGTATGGAGGCTTAGAGAAAGCCTCGCTCTGGGTGAGGTTTAGGGTCAGAAAGACACTGGCCGACCAGGAAACATTGAAGGCAGCAAACTCAACGATGGGGAAGCAGAGAAGCTTCCACGGAACCCAGAAGCTGATCAGCAGATTCTTTAGATTGTGGCCTTCTAGCTGCCAGAGTTTGAACTGCTGCTTCGATGGATAACCTCTGCCAAGCCATGGATCTGTATCGCCTATTTCTATCGAAGCATTCTCCTGATGTGCCGCAGCGGCGGGTTTCTCTGGTTCTGATCCGGTATCGGAGGAGTTCAACACCTCCTGTGTGTGAGTGTGTTCACCGGGGTGGACTCGGTGCCATTTGGTCTCTGGAAAGAGGAAAACGACAAGAATGAGAACCAGCCCCAGTAGTGCGACGTTAAACCAGAAAAAGCTACGCCAGCCAACATGCTGGGCCATTGGACCGGCAATTATAGGTCCGACCTATACGACTAGTCAGCCAGGGAGCTTGACAGCTTACTTCGTATCTTACCATGAGCGAGCCGAAATAGAACGTGAAGTAGAGTGTGTTGAAGGAACCTCTTTCGTGCAGAAATATGGTGTCTGCAATGATCTCCGGTTGAGATGTCTACCGCTGTCTGTCAGACTCACCCATGCTTCGGCTTTGGGACACCAACCTCGGCAGGACCAGCCCCGAATCCATTCAGGACACAGGCCCCCATATAACTACCATAGGATGTTGCCATAGCCCTCCAGATATTACTGGCTAAACAGATGAGAGTGGAGAATATCAAGACGGGTCTCCGACCATATGCGCTCTGTAGGGGAATCCTTACTGTCGTCAGCAGCTTCGACGTTTGTGAAGATGGTATAGGGCTTACCAGAAGAAGTTACTGAACCCCAACACCAGAATACACACGCCAGTAAATTTGACCACGGCGGCATAGTCCGTGTCGAAAGCCTCCATCAACTGAGGAAACATTGGTGCCAGGGCCAAAGGTCCTAGACCCTGACTGAAGGAAACCGCAGTGGACAAGCAGATAACGGTTATCTTCCACGTCTTGCTCCAGTTCTGAGACATTCGATTAGCATTAAAGATCTCATATTGCTCCGACTGAAACGCCACTTACCAAAGGATCATGCGGGCTCTGCGATGGCTGAGGAACGAGAACACGATCTGATCGCGACGACGCTTTCACGAAGTGATGCGACCCAACATCTGCCATGATTTCGGTCCCGGGATAGATCTCAGTATTGAGCTCCCGCTCAATCCTAGTGACCATTAGCGGCGATCAGTCCTGAAGAGATCTAACATACTGATGGAGAGCCTACGCACCATCCTTGTTAGTATTTCGCATCTCAACCTATGATCGAAGAAACCACTTACCGCTTCATCATAATTCATCTCCATATTCGATTCCAGCACCATAGATTCTTAAACTTCAGATGAGCGAGCTCTGAGAAAGCCCTACAACTCCCCAAAACCTCACAGCCATCACCCCTTTATTTACCAAAACCCCCCCTGCAATACCACCTACGCCAACACTCAGACCCTTCCCGCCCAACGCGGAATACCCCCGGACCCCAACACCCCCCATAGCCGACCCAAGGAACCCCAGACAAGCGATACGAACCCAGAGCGGGGGTTTCCGAAAGGAACGCCCAGAATGATACTAGCTGCTGTAGCCGATCTTCTGAGCATGGGTCCTTCATTGGTTCTTATAGCGTCCGCCTGTTCTGTCACGGAGATGTCTGTGCTGGGGGTAAGACCCACTTCCCCGGATTTCGTTCCTTTCTCCACTTTCATTGCCGTTCGAGTTGGCGGGAATATGCCGCTGTGGGGTTTGATGGCTGGAAGGGACTACGTCAATGGATGGATTCTAGGTTTGGTCTCTTGAGTGGTCATTGACTTTGTATAAAGTACTACGTGCGTGGTTATGCATGGCTAGGAACAGGGAATAGATAGGGTCAGGCAGGTTTTTCTGTCGGTATTTCTGGTTTTCTTCTGTTGGATGGTACAACCATCACAATACTATTGTATAACTGGCTGCATCCAATCATATACTTTACATCATCTTCAAAGTTACTAGTGATTCAGCTTCGGCTGTTCCTAACTGCCGTGTTGGCACTCAAACGTATATAGAATTCACAAATCAGAGAATACAACCCAAACACATCAACACTACCCACCCAACCTACTACAAATACATAAACCCAACCCCAAACATCCATCCCTCACAACCAGACGAAAGAAAAAGAAATATAAGAATCTACCGCTCCTCCCACAACCCCTTCAACCTCTGAATCTCCGAATCCGTCTCCCATCCCAAATCCGCCCCAATCCCACACAACAACTCCTCAACAACCTGCCGCTCCTCCTGCTTCTCTAAACACTGTCCCGCAGCGAACAGCAAAGCAGGCATATAAATCCGCGCGCAGCTCTGGGGCCTCGCCGCCGCTATCCCCACAATCTCCTTACATCTGTAATCGACCTCTTTCGTGACCTCCCTGTACCCCTGGAGTCGGTCGAATGCGGTCGTGGGACTTGTAATCACGTCCGCGGGACGATTCAGACATAGTGCTAGCCGGCCGAAGTGGTATTGTTGCATGGTCGATGCGCAGGATGGGAGGGAGTAGTAGACTTCTGGGCGGGGAGTGTGCAGTCGCAGACATGGGCGGAATGTTTCGGGCATACGGTCGACCCAGGATTGGAAGGAGACGGAGAGGTTGAGCCAGGTTGTAGAGGTGGAGGTGGAGGTTGGGGGTGTGGTTGGGGTTTTTCTGGTTGGAGGTGGTGATGGTTGGGTGATGAGCTGGTCTAGTTGGGATGTTCGGAGGTGGGCGAGGAAGTTGGTCAACTTGGATAGGAGGTAGGTGAGGCTGTTGGAGGCGAAGTCTTCCGAGGTGGAGAAGGAGGTGCTGCTTGAGGGGTCAATTTCGCCGGCTTCGGTGAAGGTGAGGCCGGCTGCGCGCCAGAGCGGGAGGTTGGTTGGGTCGAGGTAGGTGGGGAGACGGTTAAAGTAGGAGGCTAGGTAGTCTTGTCGAGCAAAGTTCCAGAATGAGGCGTTGATGCCGTGGGTGAATTTTATGGGGTCGGAGGAGTTGCTGTTGAGGTGGAGGAGGGATTCGAATAGGGAGTTGACGCCGGTGAGGTATCTGTGTTTGTATGTAGGTTAGATATAGGCTGTGGTGGTGTAGGCTAAGGGATGGGGGATAATTACAGATTCCATTCCTCTCCGGGTTTGATTATGAGTTTATACGTGGTGAGCATGGTTGCTGTGGCTAGCAAGGCCTCTGTTTTTCTCCAAAATGTGTCGTCTCTTGCGGAGGGAGGAGTAGTCTCTGCATGGCGGTGCAGCCAGGTTTTCACAATTTCGACGGGGCCTTCCAGGACAGCAGAACTGGACAGAGTCGCAAAGGATTCTGGCATGCTTGAGTTCATGCGCGCAATTGACATATAGTAGTAGTTTGCGGCCTTGAGATACCAGTCAACTTCTGGCGCGTTGGGGTACGTCTCCATGGCTGCTGGGCTAGTAAACATGCCAACGTTTTCCGGACATGTCGCGCCCTTCATCTGGCCCAGATGTATTGCTGCTAAGGCGCCGATCGAGTACCTCACGTAAGGATAATCTATCGCTCGTATGGGAACGTATGTTGTAAAGAACCTTCTACTATCGGAGAGGTCCAGCCTAAGACCATTATTATGTTAGAACGCATACTGATTACAGTGTTGGGCGTTTTGGGCGTTACGAACCATGGAGCGATATGTTGGGAGTAATGGCGTATAAGAAAGGATATCTCGTGCTCAGAGTCTGTCATTAACTCTGAAACCACCTCATGAAAATCCTCTTTATCACTTTGGACGGATTGGTTGTCATGAGCTGGTGATTGATCATCAGCTGTTGCATGCTCTTCATGATAAGTCATCTGTTCACCCGCTGCAGCAGCACGAGCGCTGGCGTTTGGGGTATGCTGATTTTCCGCTTGCAATTGATTTTGACGTCTTGATTCGGCTATAGGTGAACCGAAAAAGACTTGACTAGCGTCGGCTGGCTGATCAAATACAGCTGTTGCAGCTACACGCGTGTGTATTGGATCATTAACAGCATTGCTTCTGATTGCAGCTCCTCCAATATTTGACGGACTTTCTCGCGTCACCTAATAGGTGTAAGCAGCAGTTGACTACCGAGGATTACGGGCGGACGAAAGAACGGGTAGCTATACCCTGATGCATGTACTCACTTTATTGGGACTATGTGAAGGATCCCATCGGGGGTTATCCTGTTGATATGGCGCATATCTACGCCGAACAGAAGCACCCTGATCGATAAACTTGCGAGTTTGTACATATCCCGGGCATTCAACTCCAGCATTGGTGCAACGCTGGCAGCTGGGGCGTGTCTCATCACACTGAGATGGTCAGATTGACACAGCAAGTAAATTGTAACATGCGATCCTAACCTTCAGATGGCGCTTCTTACATCGCTCACATGCCTTGTTTGATGGAACTCCCGGCATGGTGTACGCTTGCTGTGGCGTCAAACAAGGAGTCAAGGCTGGTCTGGGGGGCAAAGCGGACGATACTACTCATTCTAATGAGAGGAGTAGCTCAAACAGACCTCGCAGTTCATACACTTATGTAGAATGCAATGTACAATTGAGATATCTAGTTCCAAATGGTTGAACGAGGGAGCTTTCGTCGTCGCCGAGCTTGGCACACCGGGATCGGGCCTGGGGTTCGCTCGGAGAAATGTCGGCACCGCTATCCGAGCCGGTACTTCTGGCCGGCTGTAGCCGAAACGTCCCAACATTTGCCAGCATCCGTGACACTTCTTTCAGGACAATGCGGAAGATTAGTCGGATAAAAACCAATACACAATCGCTGTGTCTTACTTAGTCGCACTGGCTCAAAAGATGTCTGACCCTCCTACCTAACACGCATCTTTAAGGTCTGTTCCTTCTCAATCTCTCTTTTCAAAAGGGTACCATTACTAGCGCCTTCACTTTCCTTCAGTTAGTCGCTAGTTCCCCGACATTACTATTCTGGTAATGTATACTACACTCATTGCTAGCCAGCAGGGTAGTGAAGAAGGGGCGGTCCTGGGCTACCTCATTGGGCAAGAACTCAGTCTGTAATTGCGATGCCGTATTTGCAGTTGTCACAGTCATCCACTAAGGATGTGTATATCATGATATTCTTTTCTGTCACACGCGCGCGACCATCTTGTAGGTATTAAACATGAATGGTAATATTCTATGCCATCCATCACGGGGCATATGCTTAATGTAATCCAAAGAGCCCTACTCGTGGTGGAAGGACTATATAACTTGTTTTCCAGAGGACTACTATAGACCATCGAAAACGGGACAGTGGCCTGACAAAAATCACCGCGGGTACTACCTGCCGCAAATTGAGGCCAGATTCCAGAACGAAGGCCAAGAAGGCGCTTTGGGGGAAGAGTACAAATGCACCATGCAATTTCATGTTATCCTAGTGTTTGCTTACCCAAATGTTAGTCGGTTTGTTACTAAGGATTGGTACATGCATGGAGTGGCGGCTCTCGCCCCACTGACAGGAGGCATGGCTGGTTACATGCTACTGTGGCGGGCCCTAGCGGTGCATTGACGGGCTCCCTACTCGCCCTAATAGTAGAGACCAGACACACTTCCCCTCCCTGTCCCAAATTCCGACATGTCCCCCTTTCTTCCCCAGCGGTCTTTCTTAATGACTCACGGTATCCTCTGTTCAAATGTTCCAAAATCTCCCATGAGCTTCCCATCCCCAAAGCTATCCACTGATTTCGCCCATGGAAGGAAAGGTGGAGAGAACACCAGAAAATGACTCTTTCCTGCCCTAACTGGCTTCGCGTGTAAGTATCAGACCCCGCGGGTAAATGCAACCCTGCTGAGTGTCCAAACAGATTCCTCCTCGTCCTGGAGATCGCGGTGTTCTTACCCCAGCTCTTGCGCATTTGGGTTCAAAAGACGAGCACCGGCCTCTCCCTCATCTACATATTCTTGAATCTCCTTAGTGCCACCGAACGGTTTACCGTCGGTTTCTCGGCAGTTGTCAACTTGACCATCGCCGGCGCCGATGCGCCAGCCTTTTTCGTCCATGATCCGAGAACAGTGGGAGATTGGCTGAATTTGTTGCAGCTAGGTATTGATTGAGTGCTGCTCTTGCTCTTGTAAGATTACTGCTACTAGCCTCTCCTTTCCACAGTCCGCGCTCCGCCAAACCGAACCGAACACCGTCGCCTGATAAAGACTAACTGAAAATGGCCCAAGCTTCATTCTATGTCTCACCTATCCCCCTCCTCGCTCCCCCTACGCCAGTCAGGTACGCATGCTAGTCGCCGTCCTGTACACGGCGTTCAGCCTGATCTCCATCGTCCCACTTTTCACCGACGCTCTCTTCCCCTCCATTTTCCACGAACCGGGTGAACGTGAACTCGATTTGGGGGTGGCCATATTTATGGGGTTCCATCTCTTTTACCTCAATACCATATTCACACTTCTCAGCATCTGCTCGATTATTCCTCAGGCCGTCCAATTCCGCTCGCTATCGTTGAATCTCGGTGTGGTGAGAGTGCGGGACTGCGCTCTCCAAGGGGTAGTATTGGCCATGTTAACTGTGTCGTGGGTGTTCCGAGTGAAACTCCCGGATGGAGTCGATGTCCTAACGCCGTTCCGATCCATTATTTGGTATGTATGGGTAGGTTGGCCGGCCGGAGGTACGGCGATGTTTGCTTTAGTCCAGGGGGGTTTGGCTGTCTTGGGGCTGGTAGGGAGAAGGAGAGTGGGTGGTAAGGGAGTGATCGTAAGAGGGGGAGAAACGGCTCCGCTTCTACAAGGAACGGGGGATGTGGTAGAGGAACAAGCTTAGATAGACCTTCCTCCTTTGATGATAATTTCCCCCTCTTTTCTACGCCCCTTGGTGAGAGTTAACTCGAGCTGCCTGGCTACTAGTGTATAATTGTTAACTCCGAAACTAAATTGCCATAATAGGCTGTACATATTACTCTAGTATAGACTAAGGTATAAAGACAACCAAAGAAGACCCTGACAATCATCCACCCCGCCCCACAGCCTCCCCGATCAGCGGCTAACTCGGTCACTCTATGACATGACTAGTTGTTGTGAAACGAACCATGGCGATAAGAATGACCTTGACGGAGCTGCTTGTGATCTGGCGGCTGCTTGTGATCGGGGGCCTGATTGAAGAGAGCGAAGGTCTGGCTACTGGCGTTGGAGATTTATTGAATGCTGAGCGGGCTGGCTTGTGCTTGGGTCGTTGTAGCGACGACGGTTATTGTAAGGAGAGAGTTGGAGCGAGAGAAGGTGCATTTTGAATAAAGATGAGGTGAAGATCGCGAAGGCGGATATCCCTACAAATAAACTAATAAAACAGAAGGAAGAATCTCTACTAGATGCGGTAGGAGAACATTCAATTGGGAAAGTAGAGTTACTTATTTAGACTATCTATGGTGTCCGTGTGCTGGTAGTAGTTGTTACATGTTGAGTGGTTTTGAGAGAGTCTCTCCAATGTTTACCTGAACAAGGGAGAAGAACCATCGAAAGATAATCAGTTCTGATAGACGTCAATAACTCATGCCATATTCTCAGTTTGGCGTGTTCTTTCGATCCCAATGCATATATTCTCGAATGGCCAGAGTACAAGCCGTAGAGCCCTAGGGGAGACATGATCAGGAAACTATTCAGTAAATCAGAACTGACAGTGTCTACAAACCTATCATATGGCGTCTTCAAATCACATTCAGAACTTTCCCTTTGTTACCTGATTACACTAATGCATGATAAATACATCCATGATACTGAGTCACCTGGTTGGTGGGTAATCAGTTAGTGGTAAATGGAGGAAGTGAGCTGGGAGTAAACTAGCAAGTGACCCGCCTCTTACTATGACTTATTTGAATTAGCCAATTCCCGAAGTCAAGAGTTAGTACTTAGTAAATTGCTTTATAAGACCCTTGATCTCCACCCTATACGTTCTTGACTTTCGTTACCCCCACTCCCGGCAACCAATTTCCCTGACTGTTTCCAAATGGATACGTACATCAGATGGAAAGAAGACCATCGGCAGTAAGTTCAACACGACTATCTTGAAAGAATCCGCTAAGAGATATTCTACCTAGGCCCGATACCCCACCGTTGGCCCTGGAGCTAGTAGAGAGCAGCCCGACATTTTGGACAGAGGATAAACCAACCCAATCGTTCACAATCGCTTTGCGCAGAGTCTTAAACAATCAAAGCTTCTGGCTGCGATGGTCGCCTTTCATAGATCCCAGTAAGGAAGAATTTGTTTTATTGTCTCATAGTCCAGAAAGCAGCAAAGTCGAGAGGATCGGCTTTGAGAAATACTCGAGATATTCACCATCATTACCATCATTACCAAGTGTTCATCAATTCCCCAATGAACCGTCATCGTTCTATGTTGAAGAAGCCAAAAAGAATTGGGATCGCAGTACAATAAATGTGCGAACGGGGGTACCTGATACCTGGATCAAGCTCCTAGAACCGGGGCGCACTTATACCATTCTCTGGACGGGCAAAGAGATTCCATACAGGGATTGGGGTACGCCGCAGCAGAAGATGGGGACTGAACCAAAATGGCCCCCAATCTTGGTTCCGGGTGGTGCACATTTCACCTTTACTGTGCAAGAAGGGCGACGCCCTCATATTCCCTCACCTCCGACGCCACCGCCAATTGATCCAAGCGAAAGAGTGTAAGCCCTACAACACCGATAGAGAAGAGGCTGGTGAGCTAATAATTGAACAGTCCCGGCGCACCAGTCCTGAGTCTTCAGCTTAGCTGCAGCCCAACAGGGCCTCATTCTGAGCGTTTGAATATGTCTATCAAGGTCACCTACCACGGCCCATCATCCGACCCCATCACATTCCACACGTGGGCGTTCAGCCCACTTGGATCCTTCAGCGTCTATCGCCGTGTCTGTCCAGATCAGTCTAGTCCAGAGAGTGAACCGAAATGGAAGACATGCATAATCCATCAGTCACTACATGTCTTTTGGGATAATCCCGACAGACAGCTCAACGTGGCAGAGAATGAAGAAGGTCGGTTCGCGACTCTTTTCCCAGGGGAATCCTGGTCACACTCCTGGTCTATCGATGCGGATGGAGATTGTGAGCCTGAAGACGCCCGACCTGGTCAGCAGCTTCGATACCAATTCACAGGGGAAACACTGGACTGGTGGGATTGGGGTACGATGGATGATCACGCGCAAACCGTTGTCACGCTGCCTGGATCGGGTCTAGAACCCATTAAGCACCCGAAGAACAATGACAACCGACCGAAAGTGGTCATACCAGCTTCTAATATTGTCGAGTGGATTGTTCCACATTGCTTTGATCGTCAATTTGATTAGTGCAACTGCAATGTTCTTTAGGACTCTCTCGTTCTTCTAGCCACAAAGCTTCAGGTTGCCGTGTTACCATAAGCAGAAACAACTACAAATCTTTGTGAACTCCAAGTATATTGTTAGCTATACGAGAACCATCTATCAGGTAACCCGGACACACACCCCAGAAAGGCCTACAGAAAAGGTCTCCGAAAGTTCATGATTGTTCGATGCCAGGAAACAGAAAGGAGTACACATAACAAGTCAACTAATGCAGTGCCGCTTTAGTAGAGACAATAACCTTGATCACGGGGCACAGCTGCTGTCCCCGCGTCTGTCAATGCCCAAAACAAGCAGGCGGGCGGGGAAAGCCACCAGAAACATAACAGTGCATTATCCTCCTGTCATCGACGACTGACTACTGCACACTACTGACAGTAAAATGGGACAGGGCAGATTGCAAAACAAAAACGCTATTGTGACCGGAGGAGGTTCAGGATTCGGGGAAGGAATCGTGCACAAATTCATTCTCGAGGGAGCGAATGTGATCATTGTTGATATAAATCAGCTAGAAGGACTACGAGTGCAGAATAATGAGCCACCAGGACGCGCTATCTTCCTTCAAGGAGATGTATCGAGTGAATCTGATTGGAAGATGGTGCGTGAAGTGGCACTTGAGAAGTTTGAGAAGATTGACATCGTGGTCAATAATGCTGGGATTGTTCATGAAGTTCAGGTATCCTTCTCTTGTTATTCATTTATTCATACTGGATTATGTTCTTTTTTATATATATATATATATATTTGAAGTTTACTGATAGCCTGACCCTTATAGCCATCTCTCGAAACATCCGAGGACATGCTGGACCGCATGTACAAAGTCAATGTCAAGAGTATTTATCACTCAGCCAAGGCTATTGCTCCCTACTTTCAAGCCCAGGGTGGGGGTGTTTTTGTGAATATCTCAAGTATGAGCTCTATTCGCCCTCGGCCGAAGTACGCTTGGTACTCCGCTACGAAAGGGGGTGTGAGTGCGGTATGTCTGTTCCTATCTTATCACTTGTACGTGTGGGAAGATTCTTACGATAGAATGAGCGCAGGCGACCAAGAGTCTGGCTGCAGAATTTGCGAAGGATAACATTCGTCTCAATACTGTGTGTCCCGTTGTAGGCGAAACTGGAATGTAAGTATCGATTTTGATTATCCGCCCTGTTGACAGACGCCCTTACTACCTTGTATGTGTGCTAAACATGACCAGGATGCCCGTAATCCTTGGGAGTCAGGACACACCCGAGGCTAGGAGCAAACTTCTGTCTAGCATCCCTTTGGGACGATTTGCCACTCCGGAAGACGTTGCTAATGCCACTACCTTTCTGGCAAGTGATGAGGCTTCGTTCATCACGGGGGTCGAATTGCCGGTAGATGGGGGAAGATCATTGTGATTGAGATTTTGAACTACGGAAATTATGGAACACTCAGTGGCTTTCTGATTATGTACTGCAAATCTCCGATATGAGCCATCTGGCACCATGTATCATGTCCTGTGTAGCAGTCTTCGTCGTGGTCAGTTCGGGGAATATCCAGAATGCGTGGGGCATTCCCGGGTAGACAGCAACCCGCACTGGTATGCTAGACATGTAGTCAGTCGTAATTGAAAGCGCACATTTTAAAAGAGGTGATATACCCCCTTTCTTCAAGTTTGTCCGCATAAGCTAGGGCCTCGTCGCGGAGCGGGTCACGGCCACATATCATGATGAAAGATGGCGGACATCTACCAAGGTTCCGGGACAATAGTGGAGATACCGTAGGATCTGCCCGGTCATAAGGCAGATACCACTCAATGAATTGCTTCATTGAGCGCTGATTGAGGATTGGTGTATCAACGAATTGTTCCATACTTTTCAGTCCCATTCTCTGGTAATGCAGCTCACTAGAGCATAAGACTGGAGACCGAAGGAGCTGACCCCGGATATCGACTCCCAAAGTCGGGGATAGTTGGGACAGTACAGCAGCCTAGGTCAGAAAGTGTTCCATTCTATTAGTAGGGGCATCATCCAGTCTTTTACCAGAAACCATATAAGTTTCATACCAAGTTTGCCCCAGCACTAGTCCCCCCAACGTAAATCTTACTCTTATCGAGTCCATGGGTCAGATTGTTTTGGCATACCTATTAAGAGGGATGCTATTAGCTATATCTAGCACTGTGTGACTGAGAGAATGATAATATACCCAACGAAGTGCTGTGATCGCATCTTGAATAGCTGCTGGATGCGGATTCTCTGGTGCACTGCATGATCCCATCGTTCAATGGTTAGCGAAGCCTCTGAAACCAATGGGTCACTCACAGGCGATAGTCAACGCTGACCACATTCAGCATGACTTGCACACAAAGAACCCGACAGATATTGTCTTCTCCTTCCAGATCTCCCAAGGCCCAGCCCCCTCCATGGAAGCTTCACGTCCGATACAACACTATTAGACCGTTCCGAAGCATAAGATTTCACCAAATACATACTAGATCATGACGGCCCCATTTGCTTCAGGCGACAGTGGCTTGTATATTCTCAATCTCAATCTCGACGAAGAGTCTGTACTTAAGTTATCAACTTTAAGTCCTTCATTTATTGGCGTTCCATGTTGTTGTGCACGCGTTTTTGCCTCGCGCATTGTTTGACGATTTTTCTGTACTGAGCCAGTCAGATGAGGAACTTGGCTTCTGTTATTGCGATAAAACTGGCTTTGAAATTAGCTTCTTATTATTATGTCAGTAGCTCTTGGGGGCAAATTGCAAGCAGCTTACCTCTTCCCATTCCACATTCTCTGTGGCAAAGGCATCCCTTTGAGATAGCCACCGGCCTTCGCTGGCACTAGAAATCTGCTCTCGATTCATGGCTACTGGCACTGGGTCAGCCTGAAGTGTGCTTGAGATTCAGAGAATCCTCAAAAGAGCGACCGTCCACATTCTCTTGGACGAGTAAGGACTCTAATGCACTCGCTTGTTCTCGCTTTCTAGAGGCTGTATGTAATGTCATCATAATGATTATCGCATGATGCATGGCAGACTTTCAACGCGTTTTTGGCTCCAGAATGCGGGCATGTGACGCGAAAGCTACATTTAGATTGCGTTCTCCTGCAATTTCACTCACTAGATACCTTTCAGACTTATTTGAGGAAATTGAGATGTATCCAGCTCACTCCAACCATCCCTCTGAAATCCAATGTTTCTACTACAAATATTTCCAATCAGGTAAAAACAATGCCTTTGCCCAAGGTGCAATGAACGCGACTTGATCCTCCTTCCATCCCTAGATGGCCTACATACACACGTCATCGGCGTGGAAATTCCGGCTAGGGCTCTCCGCATAAAGTCTTGTTGAACGATATGAAAGGTTGAGAGGTCAGTGTCAGGCAACAGATCCCATATATATGGGATTTTCCTTCTGCTACAATTCTAATGAGACAGCGCGTACCGGTTCAGGCAATAATTAGAATACTCCTCACTGCGGATGGGCCATTATGACAGGGGATCGTCGGCTCTCCGCATCTCGGCTCTCGGATCATTTCATCCCTTGCAGGGACTGGCCGACACGCTGCTCCGATGGAGCGTTACACGCAGTAGCTGGCTACTGTTCCCGATCAGGAATCAGACCGTGTCAATCTCTGCAGCTAAAGCAATTCTGCCAATATTCGGGGGGTGTCTAACGAAACGTGATGCTATGATTGGCCTCGGCAGTAATGATAATTTCCTTTCTTCTACCCCTCATACAGTCACGCTGCGCACAAGAGAGGGGTGGGCTTTCTTGACCTCAAGTCGCGGGGAATTTGGGTTACAATGGAATGTCACTACACGCGACGCTCCTGTCGTTAAATACCAGGCTTCATGGCCGGTTGTTTCCGATGGTGCAGCATTTGCATGGTCAAAATTGAAGCTCCGGTCCTGCCAGAATGTTCTTATCATCAAAGACACACAAAGCACTACCAGCAATCTTCCTAGCTTGCGGTTTTGTGGCTGGGCAAGAGAGCAGTAACTCGAGCTTTGATGTACTAGACTACGTTAATCCTCTGATAGGTACCTCCAATGGAGGTAAGGATATTTCCTTGAGATTATCAAGTCACCAAGCTAATTTCACTCTACAGGTCACTCATTTGCAGGGGCAACTCTGCCCTTTGGTCAGAATTTCCAACGTAGCGGATAGCCCCCATGCCCTCTGACAGTTCTTAGGAATGGCAAAAGCGGTAGCAGATACAATTGGCGAAAACCAAGCCGGTTTCGCCTATGACACGACATACGTCTCGGGCTTTTCCCACATGCATGACGATGGAACCGGTGGCGTGAGTCATCTCGCTCAATGGTATGCTGTTTCACGCTGACTGTTGTCTTTCAGTCACCGTCTTTGGGCAATTTCCCCATTTTTGTGCACCCGGGATGTCCAAATGATGCACTCGACAAGTGTACATGGCAACAGGCCGATCGGGCGATACCTTGGACGAAAGGCTCGCCAAAAGTGCGCCCTGGTTACTTTAGTATTACGCTTCAAAGTGGTGTATTTGCAGAGATGACGGTCACGAATCATTCGGCTTTGTATCGATTCACCTTCGAAAACGCGACCGAGTCGCTCAGTCCTGTGGTCCTCGTTGATCTCATGGATCTTCCACAGTCGCGCACGAATGGAACAGCATCAGTAAATCCATCCACGGGTCGCTTGACAGGAAATGGTACCTTCAGCCCCAGCTTTGGTATCGGAACTTACGATCTCCACTTTTGCGTAGATTTCAAGGGAGGTATCGTTCGAGACACGGGTGTGTGGTCCAACAATCGCGCCGGTCAAGGACAGACAACCGTATCACTCACATCTGACGGGAGCAACACCGCCGCGACCCTCTCTGCTGGCACATTTGCCCGATTCAATATGTCAACAGATGATCAAGCACTAATGGCAAGAGTAGGTGTGAGCTTCATCAGCGAAGAACAGGCCTGCTCCAACGCTGAAACGGAGCAGCCGAATTTTGACTTCGCTGGAACAGTGAACGCGGCAGAGGACGCATGGAGGGACAAATTGAATGTCTTCAGTGTTAACCCGGGAAATGTCTCATCTGATATACAGCAAGTATTTTGGAGCGGCATGTATCGTACAATGATAAGCCCGCAGGACTATACAGGAGAAAACCCACTCTGGCAGAGTGACGAGCCGTATTATGACAGCTATTACTGGTGAGTGGACCTCTTGGAGTTTTCCGCATCTTACTTACGGCATTATAGTATTTGGGACTCCTTCCGCGGCGTTCATCAGCTTCTGACGCTAGCCGATCCGCTGTCTCAATCTCGAATGATGAGAAGCCTGGTGGACATCTACCGCCACGAAGGCTACCTACCAGACTGCCGAATGTCATTATGTAAGGGATATACGCAGGGAGGGTCAAATGCGGATGTTCTTCTCGCTGAAGCTCTCTTGAAGAATGTCAGCGATATTGACTGGGCTACTGCGTATGAAGCTGTTGTGAAAGATGCGGAGGTTGAGCCCGCGAACTGGAATGTCGAGGGTCGCGGTGGACTAACTAGCTGGAAAACACTCAACTATATTCCGACCGACGATTTCGATCCATATGGTGTTGGGCTGCATACACGCAGTATCTCCAGGACTGTCGAATATGCGTACGATGACTTTTGTATTGCACAAATGGCCCAGCGTCTGGGTCACCAGAGTGACTACGAAACGTACATGCTGCGTGCCAACAACTGGCAGAACATGTTCAAGGATGATCAAAAATCTTACCTGCAAGGGAAGGACACTAACTTCACAGGTTTCCTGCAGCCTCGATATCCCAACGGGACTTGGGGATATCAAGATCCCATCTTCTGCAGTCCCTTATTGAATTTCACATCTTGTTACTTGAGTGCGGATGGGCACGAGACTTATGAGGGAAGTTCTTGGCTCTATTCATTGTGAGTTTCATACACTTTTCCCTCTCTCCGCTCGACTATTGACTAAATTACGAAGCTTTGTACCACAAGACATGGCTGCATTGGTCACACGATTAGGCGGACCGCAGACCTTCACATCCCGCCTTTCTTATCTGCATGACTCTGGTCTACTTTACGTTGGTGACGAGCAGGCCTTCCTCACCGTATTCCAATTCCATTACTCCGGACGGCCCGCGCTGTCAACTCAGCGCGCCCACTACTATATCCCCTCCCAGTTCAACACATCTGTCTCTGGTATTCCCGGCAACGACGATGGGGGGGCCATGGGCGCGTTCGCAGTCCTTAGCATGATGGGTCTGTTCCCAGTCCATGGTCAAGACGTGTACCTCATTAGCCCGCCATTCTTTGAGGAGATCAGCATACAAAATAAGCAGACTGGAAAGGTCGCCACGATACGAAATGTCAACTTCGACCCTACGTATCAGTCGATCTATATCCAGAGCGCCAAGCGGGATGGCCAAGCATGGACGAAGAATTGGATCAGCCATGACTTTTTCCTTAATGGAGGGACCCTCGAGCTTGAGCTAGGTCCTACGGAGAGTGACTGGGGGACTCGGGACGAGGATTTGCCCCCGAGCATGAGCAATTACTGATCGCTTAGATGTCTCTATTCCTCGTCCTTAGCTACCGTACGTGCCTTTGGGCTTTTTTGCAAGCTTTTCTGGATCGGGCACACGGGTTATAATGTGGATATCGCCTGAATAGCTATGATCTGGGTCTAGCCTAGGGTCATTTCGTGTGTTCCATCTACAATCCAGTAGCTATCACCAGTCAATTTCTTCCCGAAGACAGGTCCCACCGATATACCTCACCCAATAGCTGGACTCCTAGTAGATACTGATCCGGGGAGACAGGCTCATCAACGTGACCCAGGAGGCGCTGAAACTCCCTTGATGGCCTTCCCAGGGAACCCCCCTCTCCTTAATTGACACGCCAGTCACAACAGCCACCACGCTCAGGGACGCCGCCGTAACAACGGGCAAGGTTCGCCTGTGTTGGTGCCAGCACCAACAACTTCCCCCTCAGCGGACAGAAGAAGTCAGAAGTAGAATGTAGCAAGAATGTAGCAGGACCTTGTGAAACAGTTAATCGTGTTGTTCAACGCGGTCTAATCATTCATTGAGTGCAGATAAGCGTGCATCTATAGTCTCGATAAAGCTCAGGAGGCGCGCTACCGTGTTAACCATGCTTGGCGTAGTATCAGTATCAGTATATTCAACCTGGATGCTCTGCTCTTTCTCTGCCTTTGCAGCGGCAGCGGGTAGTTCTGTGACGGTAGTATCGTTGTCCTCGGCGCTTGGCGTCCTTCATGATTTTCCGTGATCAGGCGAGTTGGTTTCAGTATCTTTGACCTGGACGCTCTAATGTTCCTTTGCCTTTGCAGCAGGGGCGAGTAGTGTGACGGTAGTATCGTTGTTCTCGATGCTCTGTTGGCTAGCGACAGTGGTATCTTTAGAAATGAGGTGTTGAGCAATTCGTTGTGAACGGTGTTTGATGTAGAGAGCCTCTGAACCCTATTTGACTCTGACCTGTTGTTTGTTGCCAGAGTCGGTGAAATACTCGGTAAGGGGCTCACTGGCTTCGTCGTGTGTGGTAAGTGCGACGGTCCCTTCAATAACCACTGTTGAATAATACTATAATCTTTATACTTATGAGGTATCATTTGACTATTATCCTGTTGTGGAGATTTTCCTACTAGATTATAGTGCATAACTACTATACTGGTATATAACAGACCTGATAGCATATGATATAATATAGAGAGGAAATGATATATAAGAATACTTTTTTTTACATATTTAACTAGTTCTGTTCTTTATACTTAATATAATTATCTCTGAATAATTATATAACCAAAAGCTTAGTCACAGAATACTTACCTGTACTCATTCATAAATAGCTGTATAATACTATTTAGCCTTACTTCTCTTCTCTTATTTATAACCAAGTTATCTCTCAGATAATTATCAGTTAAATATCTTCTTGACACAGTTCAACAGTACATATACTAACAGGACTAAGCTAACTGGGACAGGGAAGCGATCCTAGGGTTTGACATAAATCTTCTCTATTTTATGATTAATTTCTTATCTAGTTATTAGGTTCCCTATCCTGACAAATAGATCCTATTACATAAAGTTTGGTATCTGACTTTGAAATCTCTGACCTCCCTTCCCGCGCCTGAACATTTGGTTGTGGTGTGCAGAGTTGGTAACTGAGCAAAGAGCAGCCAGCCCAGAAAGGGAAGGGGATCATGGCAAAACCACATCATCCTTCTGCTCTAGAATCACGTTCAATATTCGAACAATCTAGATGCATAATTTATCTCATGGGACTTGCTCTGTATGGTGTAACATGTCATGAAATTTATAGTAGATAAGATCCGTCATATGCCATGTATATTTCAAATAAAGATAGCTGTTATCTGTGAAGTCCAATAAGTGAAGACATATGATAGCAGATTTCTGAAGACGTTTGGATTACACCTCTCACGGTAAGCGTAGTCGGAATAAGTTTGTAGTACTATTTGCTGTTTTGTTACTTAGAGATTACATGCAAGCAGAATGTGACTGACAAATTTGAGGGGATCTCGGATTCGAAACCACGAATTCAAGCAACAGGGTGGTGGGCTCGAATGATCGACATGCGTCATGTGGCGTACCTGAAATTGATAGCGTTTGACACTAATCTTAAATTACCTTTATAAGGACAGAAACCGTGGCTCATTACCGCATGGGCTTTATTTGCCGAGCAAACATGCGGGTTTCCATTGGCCGCATCCAGATCCCCCGCCTGTAATACGGGTCGGCATAGTATTGCTCACGGAAATCGAATCAACCCTGGCAGTCCCTTCATCGATAATAAGCTCCGACATGGAGTCATCCCCGCACCTAAGGAGTATGAGGCGAATGGGGCTTGAGCGGTTATATTATGGAAATAATATGTTGAACACGTCACAGATGTGGGAATCCTTGGTCAGCAGGATCGGCGGAGAGAGATACTGTACATTTATTGTCGGTCTAGTGAACGTAAATAACCCTCCTCAACCTATTAATAGACCCCTTTATTGCAATAACTAAATCCTACTGAAACGAAAATCGATCACTACATTTACCTACCACACCCTCTTCGGCTACAACAATTATCCCACCCGCAGTAAGGATGCTGCTTAAAATGCACCACGCCATGCTCGCACGTAACCCCAGGCTTGAATGCGTGCAGTATAAGGTCCGGCGCCCCCTGCCGTAGCAGATGTAGCGCCGCTGTCTCGCGTAGCGACGTGCAGCTGGGCTTGTATGCCAGTGGTCTCTGCGGCGGGAGCGGAGGTGTGAAGAATCGGGGGGGAGCTCCCGGCGGCTGCCAGTGCATCATCATGGAAGGCGTCGGACGCAGGTCCGGGAGAAGTTGCGGAGCTGTGGCGTAGTAGTTAAAGTTGTTGTTCGACCCGTACAAGCGTATTTTTGTATCGCTAGGTGCCGAGATGTCAAGTGCAGACTCAGAAGCGACGCGGTGGACCACGTGCAGTTGGGGGTCGCCGTGGTGGCCCTTGTCATCCAGGATGCGGATGGGGGACTTCGGTGGTTGGTATGGTGGAGGTAAGTTGGAGGGAATGCTGTCTGGCTATGGTTTCTATCAGAAAATCAAGCATATTGAAAGGGAAGATTGGGCAACATGCGGTAAGTATTTCGCCAATTTTCGCCTGGGATGGATCCGGCGGCTTAATGGATGAGGGCCTTGGTGGTGAAATTGGATGTTGATCCGTTCCCGTGGGTGTCATCCCCATCGTACCTTGTCGACGGCCTGCCAGGCGATCCTGCTCTTGTCTGCCTCGTAAGTCCTCCCAGTATTCTATTGTTTCTGCTCTTGATGAGGTTGCGCTAGGAGTCGACTCTCTACGGATGAGGCCAAGGGTCACAAGGCGGGGGTTAGGGCTCTGGATGACATGTATTAACAAGGCCGTCTACTCAAATAGATACTTGCAAGCACTTACTGCTTGGGGTTGCAGCCCAGGGAGCAGATGGAGATCCAGCTCGGCCAAGTTGAGCAGGTGGCTGGCAATGTTGAAATTGTCCATAAACGAGCTCCAGGCAATTGATAGATCCCAGTCGTCATCAGAGGTCCATTGCGAAGTGCCTATTAGCTCACCAAACTTGAGGCAGGAGTCAAGGTGGGATACGCAGGTCTGAAGTGCCTTTCCTACCTCCTCGGACTGTTCCTGTGGCATTGCTGTTGCTCTCTCAAAGAACTTGGATTGGATTTTCTGTGTTTCAATATATTTTAGAGCGTGCTCAACGTCTGAATGAATTGACAGATGATTCTGACGCTTCAATTTCTCTCCGAAAATGTGGAGTCGAGAGAACAGTCGCTGACAGCAACGTACAAGGGTCTTTTGGCTCAACATCATAACTTCATTAGCTGATGTGGGTCGGAGATATGGAAGCAAAGTGGGTTTCCAGCTCTATCAGCAGTAAAGGCAACGGATATCCCTGGCAGTCCTGTTGGAGTATGGGCTGGCCTTACTTTTCGGTGGGAACATTGCTGTCGGGGCTTGGTCTGATGCATCGGAAAGTGGCGCAAGTCCAGGCGGTCCATAATGTAGCAATCATATTAACGTCATATTATACCAGCTGCGTCAAATGGCAGCTTGACATCGCTGGTACATGCTTTATAATACGATCTTTAATCTACGGTAAAGATAGTTTCAAAACACGACCAATAATATAATTAGTGGAAGACATCTAAACTGGATGACGCTAGAAGGCCTGTTGAAATATATCAACACCACTAGGCTATATATTGTCGAAATTGACCTCTGCCATCTGTACAGAAACTCATGCGACTAATCGCCAGGTGATGTCTGAAAATAAGGAGAGACTGAAGATTCTCGCCCTTGGTAATTCCCCGACTAAGAATATGATTGCGGTGCTCGCTAACAAACTATCAGATGGCGGCGGTGTCAAGGGCCTATCATCATTGCTTATACTAGAGAGAATCATGGCAAGGGTTGGTGCCAAGATGAAAAGGCCTGACTTGCAACCATATCAGTACTTTGACATCATTGGCGGAACGAGCACTGGAGGGTCAGTTTTACTGGGCATCGAGCCATTTCAATCATTTTATTATAAGCCGAAAGTCTTCAGGCTAACTCTACCAGAATTATTGCCCTTATGTTAGGCCGTATGAGGATGACTGTCGAAAGCTGCATCGCCGAGTATCAGAAGCTTGGGAAGATTGTCTTCGGGGAGCCCCGGGGCCTCTTTCACGAAAACATGTTTGATGCGAAAGTCCTTGAAGAGCAGACAAAGAAAGTGGTGAAGAAGTACCTTGGGGATGAGAATGATCCTCTACTTGATCCACTTGGAGATGATGCGTGCAAGACGTAAGTCCCAGAACCCCGCAATTGTCCGTGCCACTACATATCAAATACTGCGCTGCTCACACGCTAGCTGCAGCGTCGTCTACACCCTCCCGTACAGAGGTGCAACGCCTGAGGAGCCAGAGGCCCTGCGGACCTACATTAACGTCAATATCAACCCTAGGCCCAAACCCTGGACTATCTGGGAAGCGGTGCGCGCCACCTCAGCCGCTACAACCTTCTTCGAGCCCTTCATACACGGCCAGTCTGGCAGCGAGATCCGGTATATCGACGCTGGGTTGGGCTTCAACAACCCTGCCGATCTCGTGCTTGAGGAGGCTACGTCGCTGTGGACCGACAATGGCTACCTCGATCCAGAACGCGACATTGGATGCTTTCTGACCATCGGCACGGGCATCAGTAGCGTCACACGTATGGACAAGAAGACCATCACAGAGGCCATCACTGCCAAGGTTAGAAAGCCAGTGCAGGCTGTAGAGGTGTTAATGAAAATTGGAACTGGTACAGGGCCTACACATAGGAACGTGGCACGGCGCTTCAACCCTACCAGCAATGTGTACCAGCGTTTCGATGTGGATCAGGGCATTCAGGCCGTCAATCTCTTTGAGCACGAGAGACGCGAGGACATTGAGGTCGACACGAATGCGTATTTAAGAAAACATTCTATAGGTGTGCAGTTGTCGCAGGCTGTAGAGAAGATGAAGGTCCTCGGTCTTCGAACACCCGAGTTAATGGGGGATCGGAAGGAAGGGGGGGAAGTTTATTCGGTGGGGGAAAATGGAGATGTCGACGACCAGAAGCTCAGGGACCGATTTGAAGCACTGAGGATGTAGGTTATCTGAAGGCATAGCATAACATCTTATTGCTTAGCTGAAGGTACGTAATTAGATCCAAACTGGATTTCCAACGTCATGCAAAGCACTGGAAGTCAAAGATTTCTGTGAATCAAGGCCGAGGTAGTCAATATTATTATCTCCTATACAAAGGTAGGTCCCGTCCGTCACCATTCCTGGTCGCATTCCTGCTGACACTGCAGAAATCGGCCATGTCCCATACCTATGGAACACTTTCGTTCAGGCAGATCTGCTCGACAAACGCTACAGAGGCATCCTCGCCAGACGACTTCCCCAAGCCGACGAGTGGCAACTCTGCTTGCGTGGAAACCTTGCGCGGATAGCCTACGGCGTCGGACAGGAGGATCTAGAAACGACTGTCACTCGGCTAACTCTAGCTTACGAGGGACTGAGGGATACCTTCCGAATATACCGTCAGCTCTTCCACACCGCCCAGCAAGTGTTTGGTGAGACGAGCGTGACATACTGTTGGGCTGCGAAACGATTGGGAGCTTTGCTAGAGCTCTGGGGGTGTCAGAGTGAGGCTTTGGACTTGTACATTGAGGCACGGGCTGGCAAGTTGAGTTGGTTTACAACTGATCACTGGTCTACTAAGTGGCTAGAGAACAAGATCGCCGCACTAAGACACGCGCTTGTCGCACGCCAGAAGCCTGAATAAAGGGAGACATGCGCACTGAGTGAGCTTTGGGTAAGCAGCGAGTTCGTCCTGACGGTTCTTTGGGTAGGCATAGGTGTATCCAGCCAGTCTTTGGCCCTATACCAGGAGTATATTGACATTGCGGTGCAATACTATGAGGGTATGAAAATCTTAAGTATTCTAATTAGTCAGATCTCTGAAAAGGAGTAGTACAATACTATTAGAGTGCCTCCTTGGGACCCGAGCACGACCGCCTACCTGAGCACCCCAAAACCACGCAGTTTGACTAAACTAACCTTACTATTAGTACTACTAATACTACTAAGGCTACTAATACTACCATAATATTTAATCAGTATTTAGATTTATAAGAAACAGGATACTCCAGCTCAGGAGTCAGGATTGATTATTTTTGTAGACTCTTAATCCGCAGATGAGATAGTAAGACTAATATATAATTCTATCTATCAATAAATAAAAAAAGTTTCTCTTCTGACTCTACCGTTCCACGTGAAGCTGCAAATATCATATATAAATATCAATATAAACAATATGGTTTAAAACTAAAATGATGCTGGAGTCCTTGAGATTCCATGGGGTTGTTAAGAAACAACGTACGATACAGATATAGAAGGATAGGCTATCACTACAACCAAATGGGATTGAATAACGATGTAGTCTTTATTCAAGTAGTAGATATGAATATCGAGGTATACAATTGAAGCATCGTAATTCACGACCTTTATTGCCTCCAAGTCACCATTTTACCAGGGTATATTAACTATCTCGTATTCCCTACCTGCCTGGTCCTTCTAATATAAATACAATCATTCTTTCCCGGGGAAACTTAGTCTAGAATATATTTCAGTCTTTCATTTTATACTATATTTGAAATCTGCCCTATAGGGCCGGAGACCTACTTATACATATTGCAAATCTAGTAGTATAACAAGGTCTAGTTCAGTAATATGTTTAACTGCCAGGAAGGACAGCTCCGTTATCGACTACATGGAAGTGGAGGAGGTGGCATCGTCAAACTACTGAGTACCGCCCTTGAGCGACCCGGGAGGAGGCCTGCCGTGTAGTAGTGCTCTGCCGACTATAAAAATCGAGGCCGGAGGCCTACTAGGCTTCCCAAAAGAGAGGATACCCTTATCATTCCGACGAAGGTTATCGCGCGAAGCCGCAGCTGCGGAGGTGTGGATGACTGAAAACAACTACCTTATAGGGGACATGGTGACCCCAAAGCTATACAACACCATAGCGTTATTCCTTACACGTGGAAGGATATCTTAGACCACCTATGAATACGAGGCATCATTTGTGGAATTATGAGGGAAATTGGTCACCTAGGCCGCGGTAGCCGACTCGAATTAACAACTTAATGCAACCCGGACTGTATGTTCCGCCAGGTGATGTACTCATCACATCATGCTTGCACGGATTTACCACTGATGGTCCCCAAAGTGACACCTATCAGCTATTCAGAGCAGACAGAGCGACAAATCCTCGTAACGTGTCTTCGAGCTGACTCCTTTACTTGATTATAGAAAATTGCCCGAAGGGGTATCTTCTCGTTTGCCTTTCGCAAGGAATACTATACAACGAATCCGCAAAAATGCCCTCCAGTACTACCAGAAACCGTGTGATCCTAGAGGGGCTGTTCAAGACCATACTGGAGTGGAGAAAAAATGTGCCTAAGGATGGACATGTCAATATTCGCAGCCTGAAAGATGTCGAACACGTGGTTCAATTTGATTTCGAAAACCTGGACAATGCGGAATCCAACTTGGCATTGGTTCCTCCTGTTTTGTTTAAGCCGATGGATTTGGCAGATTTGGAGAAGCATCCAGTCGATCCGAAGCTGGCACGAGAGTTCCTTGACATTGATCAAGACGGTAGCAACAGGGACTTCCCAATCGGACCGATAGATCGTGTACGTCAAATAGCTACACTCATCGAAGACCGCACTACTCGCGAGGCCCGGTCTCAGCAGAATCTCCATATTGTGGAGTAAGTTTCTTTTTACTTACTGGGTGACAAAAAAGGTTTTCTGAAAACATTCCATATCAGAGCTCCCGAAAGCACGTTTTGGCTGGAAGCCATACTAGCTTACAACTACAGTAACAACGGTTGGTGGACAACCAAGTGTCTGATAGAGCCATGCAGCGACAATGGTAAAGTTTATCCACACTTAGCGTTTCACCTTCTCGACGATAAGGAGGCCTGGGAAGACGCCATTCTGTACTCAGAGCTGTGCGCGATTGTCGAGGCGATGAAAGGCCGTGCTAATCAACGACTGGTGGTTTTTGAAAGAGTCCGGGAGGAACTTGACGAGTGTGGCGGTAGAGGCAAAAAAGTCTACCCATATCTCTTTGACAATGAAGAGCATTTTCCTGTGCTTATGGTGTCATGCGTCCTACCTCAACATGCTAGACTCTTCATGGCATGTATGAGCCAGCGGAAACTAGTAATCAGACAATCCAAGCTGTACAGCTTTGAATGGAAGGACGAGGCACCAGTGGAATTGTTTGCTCGCGTGTACTTAAGCAAGCCTTTGGTGCCACGGATCTAGGGCTGGCAAGCAATATTGAAGATTAATACCCAATTGAGCATTCACCAGTACTAAATTAAGACAGCGCCGGGTTCCGCGAAATATAATCCTTGTTGGGGCATATCTCTCCATCTACTCTCCAGATACTTGCCATATTATTATCCATGGTCTAATCCTAGACTCTCACTTGATATATTAATAACGACATGAGTGCCTTCGAAAGGGATCTCGCAGCTGTATGTACTAGTGTCTTGGCTTTAGCTGAATTAACCATTTTCCTTCTATCGCTTCATTAAAAAGGACGATGTATGCTTCGTAGTGAGTAGAGTTCTGTTTCGCGATTAGATCCAGTAGTTGTCATCGAAATATCCAACAACCTGGAACGTTGTATCTTGTTTACATGCATCATGGTTAGGAGTACACTTCGAAGAAGCATGAAATCATGTTGTAGGAGATGGAAGTCAATACCGAAAATGCCCTTTTACGCATCAGCTGCTCTTTTCGGGAAGCCCGGCCAAGACAGCCGAGAGAATGGGTGCAGAATCCGCGGCAGGCATGGATCGTCAGTCTGATAGCACTCGGGATTTCCGATCCCATTCCGACGTTGCCATGAAATTTTAAATTATGATAGACCGTGCATCGGCCGCTTAGTAACAGCTTGTCCATTCAAGCCCCTGTCTTGGCGGAAGAGATAATTGTCGTGATTGACATATCTATCCACATTGGGGCCTACAGAAACCAACTTAGCCATACAGTGCAGACATCTTGTAGATCTCGGCACATTTCGGATTTCAGCATTTGTACCGAGGAGCTTCGGTACCGATATCCAGGGCGCATTAGCTTGCAGCTAACATGAGTTCGTCACACAACATAAAGGTTCCATGATAGACCAGGGACAGGATTATTCTCTGGGATTTACTTTGATGATAGGCTAACAAGTCGACTTCAGTCGAACTTCCGAATGACTGAACCCTCAGCGACAGGAGGCAGAGTACCGAAAAGACTAACAGAATTCATCCCCACAATCATACTGTTGATATCTTGCTTCACAGGAATGAGGGGTATTTGTGAAGGACATACCAAGCATTCTCATGTAGGCCAACAATACTACGGCCCTAGTGGTGCTAAACTAGCGCTAAAACTTGCCCAGACGAGCTGTTAGTGTACATTGTCTTCAGTCATCCTCTACCGAACCGATGAATCAGCGGGGATAGAGACGGACTGGGAAGGAAGCCCGTCCATCAGTCTCGGCACCACTTTCTTCATCGCTTCACCATACACCGATACACCGAAGCAATGTGTCTGCCTATATCTGGTGATATTTTTCTCTTTGCCGGTCACATCGCAATATCTTATCAACGCGCTCCCCATGCAGCGGAAAAGAACTCCGATGGGTGTTTCTTTATCCAAAGTAAGCAATTCGTGTATTATTGTGCTGGTACTGGTGGCTCTGATTATCTCTGTTTGCCTGCCAAGCCACTATGAAAGCATGGCGGTTGGCTGATGAGACTCAAAGACCGGAGGAGATAATAAAATGACATAATCTCAAGGGAACTCTTTTCCTTCTTCTTGGACTGCTATGATAGTTAGCAATCCAATTAATCTGGTACCTGGGGGTCTATTACAGGTTGTTAGTGAGAAAGGGGAACTGAACGCGTTCTCATAGGGCCTGCTAATCCTCGGAGGAAAGCCGGTTCTTCAGGCGGAAAATCCGTAACTCTCAACACCTATCTAGTCACTCACACCTCTTCTTGTAAGCTTATGATTGCCAGTCTTACTTACCCCATTCAGAGGGCCCCCTCTACATGATGGGCTTGTCTGGTTCCAGGATCCGCACAGGAGGTAGGTATAAGAAAACTTGAACAGCAATCTGTTCTTATGCTCACTGATGAGTTACACATAATATATGACGAATGGCCAGGCGCAGCTCCATATGTGTCTTAAACATTTTGTATAACATTGATCATCCCTTATCTTTCACTTTTCTTACGACCAGAGCCGCATATCCATGAACATGAAACTTCTTTACGGCGCGTTGCTCATAGCTCAGGCTGCAGCTGCAGCTAGCAGCCATGGGACCTTTGCATCCCCCGCCAACGATGTCAGGTTGAAGTTCCGTTATTGGCTCCCCGATGCCAGTGTAGACACCGATACAGTCGTGAGAGATATTGAAGAGGCTGGCGCAATAGGTGCTGGAGGGGTGGAGCTTCTCGGCCTCTACAACTATGGCGGTTCGTTGGCACCGCAACCCGATGGTGCCGACTGGGCTACGTATGGCTTTGGAACACCCGCATTCAACACCATTCTCAAGGCATCATTGCAGAGTGTAAAGGATACAGGCATGGTCTTCGACTTTGCTCTTGGGCCAAGTCAAGGGCAAGGCGTTCCAGCCAAGACAACTGATGAGGGGCTTCATTGGGACTTGGTAGGAGACCTTTCAATAAATACATTTGACATGTTCTGATAT